ATACAGTGGTGCCTCGCTTAACGACGATAATCCGTTCCAGGAAAATCACCGTTAAGCGAAAACATCATAAAACAAAAATAAAAAGCCCATTGAAATGCATTGAAAACCTTTCAATGCATTCCAATGGGCTTAAAACTCACAGTCCAGCGAAGATCCTCCATACGGCGGCCATTTTGGCTGCCTGTATAGCGATGAATCCATCCCTAAACACAGCAGGGAGCCATTTTAGTTACCCGGTGGCCATTTTGAAACTGCCTATCAGCTGTTTAAAAATCATCGTGTTGCAAAGAATCAGTTTCCGAAGCAGGGAACCGATCATCACAAAGCGAAATTCCCCCATTTACACCATCGTTTTGCGATCGCAATTGCGATTGCAAAAACATCGTCGTAAAGCAGATTCATCGTAATGCAGAGTAATCGTTAAGTGGGGCATGACTGTACCACGGTAGTTGTTGCAGTCATCCCTGTCGCCTTTGTTCTTATACAATGTGACGATGTTTGCATCCTTCATGTCCTGTGGTACTCCACCTTCCCTCCAGCAAAGACAAAATACTTCATACAGCTTGGTGGTGATGATCTCTTTACAGCACTTCAACGGGGATGTTATCCTTTCCAGGTGCCTTGCCAGAGGCAAGGGAATCCAAAGCAGCTTTTATTTCTACTAAAGTTGGTTCACTGTCCAGCTCCTCCAAGACAGGCAGGCACTCTATGTTATTTAATGCCTCTTCGGTTACTACATTCTCTCTAGGATATAGCTCAGAGTAGCGCTGCACCCAGCGTTCCATCTGTTGTGCTCGGTCCTGGATGATCACGCCTGTAGCAGACTTCAAGGGAGCAGATTTCTTCTGTATTGGACCTAAAGCCTGCTTGATACCATCATACATTCCCTTGAAGTTACCTGTGTCTGCTGCTATCTGTATCTGAGAGCAGAGGTGAAGCCAATAATTGTTGGAACATCTCCTGGCAGTCTGTTGGACTTGGCTTCTAGTCATCTCTTAAAATTAAAGGACATCATTAAAATGTATTCTGATAGGAATTTTCCACGTTTCCTGCTGTTCTCTCATCTCTTGGGGTTCTTTCCACCCTACCCCCAGAAATGTACCAAGCAATGCATCAGGTTGGGTTTATTATTGTTGTTGTTTGGGCAATAAATGACTTCAACAACCTTAAGACAAGTTATGCAAACAATTTATAAGAAATAATTTTCAAGACTGTGGTTCCGATTAGAGCTTCAATTTTTGACAGTGTAAAGCTCCGCCAAGCTGCAAGAGTGCCCCTTAACTGATGGGCTTAAGTGCAAGTAAAAGAACGAGAGGAGGATAGAATATTGGGAGAGACCGAAGACAGCTGGGGATAACCTTGTGCATTGGATTCAGTACATTCTTGATCTTATTCAATATAGATGTGGCTCTTAAAACCCAAAGATTCATATTTTCCATGCAATGGTAAAGGGATCTGCTTTCTCCTCCCCATGTCAGTTTTATACACTCCGTATGCTTCATCACAGCTGGCTGGATAGCTCAGTGGTGTAGGTATCTGGTTGCGGAGTTAGAGGGTTGTGAGTTTGATTCCCCACTGCACTTCCTGATAGTAGAGTCTGCTTGTGCGGCTTTGGGCAAGCTGCTCAGTCCCTGGGTGCCCCCAGAAGAAGAGAACCATGGGCCACTTCAGAGTGCTCTATATCTAGGAAACTCTGGAAAGGGCTACCATAAGTCAGAATTGACTTGACAGCGCACACCATTGCGGAGTTAGAGGGTTGTGAGTTTGATTCCCCACTGCACTTCCTGATAGTAGAGTCTGCTTGTGCGGCTTTGGGCAAGCTGCTCAGTCCCTGGGTGCCCCCAGAAGAAGAGAACCATGGGCCACTTCAGAGTGCTCTATATCTAGGAAACTCTGGAAAGGGCTACCATAAGTCAGAATTGACTTGACAGCCCACACTATGATGATGATGATGATGATGTATTTCATCACTGTGTTTGTGCCCTTCTCTTTCTGCGTCCTCCTTACCCTTTGCCGTTCAGGGCCTTGTATCAAGCTGCAAAACTCATCCTTGTGCAAAACAACAACAAAAACAATCCTCTTAAATCTTTGAAAGGAAGCATACTTTCAGAGATAGAAGGTTTGAAAATTTTATAGTAATATTGTGAAAATGCGAAGGTATGAACATTTTCAATATTTATTGTAGGTAATTAATTCAGAAAATGTACACAATACATTCTGAGGGCAGAATTTTGCCTTTCCTTGGCATAAGCCACTAGCTGTTCCGAGAACAGATTATTACAGCAAGTTGTGTGAAGCAAATTGCATAATAAATACCATCCTTTACGCAGTGAAAACATTAATTCAGTTGTTTTTTAAAACACAAACGTAGTTAATTTACATCTCTGAAATCAACAAGTGAACTGAGACACAATTGTTCCTGTGTTTTTGTGATGTATTTGTTCAGTGGCCAAAAATGGCATACAAGAATGCATGCATAAGAGAAAACACCATACAGTATTGTGCATCATACCAAAAACGAGATATAAAACTGTGGATTTTTTTAAGCTTTGTTGATACATCCGATAATTGCTGGCAAAAACTGTCTGCATTAAGGCACATGTTGGACAATGCACAAAGCAAAATACAGATCCTTTAAAAAGTGGTAGTTGAATTTTTTTTAAGATCAGAAAAATCAGAAACTGAATCTACCTGACACTGACAAGAGTTGTCTTTCCCCACTGCACACACGAATATAAGAATGTGTGAAAATGTTGGCTAGAGCAGCCTTGCCAGCTCATGCCTAAAGGTGTGAGCGGGTGGGAGAGCTGGGTAACATCCTTCCTCACCCACCTCCTGTCGGGACAGACTCACCCCCAGGCATGGAGTTGGAATCACAGACTGTTCCTTGGCAGGTAGGTACCCAACTAAATGAAAAGGCAGCGGTGATGCATTTCCTGGCAGCGTCCCCCCTCTCCCGCCACTGCTCATCCACACCCATTTTTTAATCTGGGAATAGGATATCTGGGTATCTTGATTCCAACAAGAACCACCCTATTCCAACCCCCTCCGGCTCTCTGCGAACGTTGTGTAGCACCTTGCTTGCTGAATTGTTCTCTTCTTCGTGTCCCCAGGTGTGTTGCTGATCGAGGCGTATTACTGTTGCTGTCCCACTTGGTGCTTTACTCCAGCTGCTGACGGACTTGCTCCCTTTCTCTGAGGATTATTTACACATTCAAGATGGAGCTGCAGAAGATGGGAGAAGAGATGGTCACAGAGAGGCTCAATGGGACTATACCTGATAACGACAAGGCAGCTGTCCTGGAGGATGGGTGAGTCTCTGTCTTTTTGTCTCACTCTCTCTGTGTGTGATGATGGAAAGACAGCACAGGGATGGCCACCCTGGGAGAGGTAAGCCAGCCAAGGCAGGTAGAACTAGAAGGGGAAACCAGTTGTTCCTCTGAGGCAGAATTCATTCTGTTCGGTGCATTAACTTTCATCAAGGTATGGAGAGCTTCAGGGAGGTTTTTTAATGAGTTCAGTTTCCTTATTGCAAAGGGAACAAATTGTATTTTATAATCTGCCGCGTATTTGCAAAATATATATACAGTATATGCAAATTGAGCAGGTGGGAAGGCAGCACACATGCCAAGAACACTTGGCAGGGAGCAGGATCCCTGATGTCTTCCAGGCGGCTTCTGCCACCAGAAATCCTCTTAACCACTTTTTCCTACAAACCTTGAAATACACCCATTTCTTCTTTTCTGCCTTTTCTAAAATAATGCAAAAACTCTTCATCCTCTGTGGAAGTAGGTGAGGTGTGGCCCACTTCCCATGAATTTTGCATTAACCCTGACAAAGGACATGAGCTAGGACTTGCTCTCCTGTTTTTTCCTTGCCTCCTTTCTCTCTCTCTTCGTGGGACATTTTGCATGACCAAAGGGCGCACTTACAAGGATCCAACACTCTTGGATCACTGATGGGGGTCTGGAAGAACATGACATAAAGTGTATTTAGATAGTGGCTGTTCCTGCACTGAATTCAGCATTGGCACACTGAGTGGTGCAGTTGATCAGATTAGACCGGAACCAGGAGTATGTGGAAAGTAACATCTCTTCTGCTTTTTTGGAAGGCCCAGACACAAGATACGTGATAGTCCCTAGCTTAAGATTTTTCGTTTTAACGGGTTAGATGCATTCATGGAAGATGGCTGTATTATCTGTGATAACTGAAAGGAGAGCCTCCACGTTTAGGGGCAGTATGCTCTAAAAACAAACTACAGTGGTGCACCGCATAACAATTACCCTGCTTCACAACGAATCCGCTTAATGATTAGGTTTTTGCGATCGCTTTTGCGACCGCAAAATGATGTTTAGATAGCAAAAAACTGCTTTACGATGATCGGTTCCCTGCTTCAGGAACCAGTTTTTCGCTTTCCAAAGTGGCTGCCCGCTGTTCAAAATGGCTCACCGCTGTGTTAGGGATGGATTCTTCGCTCTACAGGGAGCAGAAAATGGCTGCCCTATGGAGGATGTTCGCTTTACAATGAGGTATTTCGCCCATTAGAACGCATTAACCAGTTTCTAATGCATTCTAATGGGCTTTTTACTTTCGCTTGACGATGATTTCGCTCTACAGCGATTTTGCTGGAACGGATTAACATCATCAAGTGAGGCACCACTGTATTGGAACAAATGACATCCTAATCCAAAGCCCAGATCCAGGTGCCCTGTTTGTGCCATTGCGTAGGATGTCTAGGAGAGGGGCCGTCCAGCCACTCTTCTGATTGTGCAGCCAATTGGCCTAAAGTAGCTAGGGACAGGGTTGGAACCAATCAGTATTGACTAGTTCCCTGAGGGTGGAGTTTGGGCAGGCAGATAAGAGGAAGAAGAGTTTCCTCTCTAATCTGCTTTGAGGATAATCTTTTCAGAACCTTTTGCTTGATCTCAGAGATAAGCTGCTGTTGTGTACTTTTGCTGGATCGTGGAAGCGTGGTTGCTTCGATGGCCAAGCGCCTTGCTGGTTATGATGGCAGCATCTACTCTGCTTTCTTGTAGACTGCTGGCGGGGGTGGGACAGTCCCAGTTCTAGTGGCTTGGAAATGCCTAACATTTCTGCTGTGAATGGGACAGAGTGGAGTGAGCAGGGTTTCCTGCCTCCCTTTGTTACTCCTTGTACCCCCTGAAAAACTGCCCTGGGAGGGGGAGACGGAGGGGCCTTTGGGAATGCTGTTAGATATAAGGCAGGGAGCTAGAGGTATGGGGTTGTTCACTGGGAATGGATTCCACCTTGCATGTACAGAAGAGCAACCTAAAACATAAACCAGTGACGGTGGTCAGATGTAACAACAATAACCCAGAGCTGCTAAGAATTTTGGCTTAAAGTACCTGCTCCCTGCTTATCTCCACTCGGTTCCTCCCGCCAACAGGAACAACTGCACTAACTAGAAATTAGTGAAAATGCCGAAGTTTCTTGTAACGCTCAAACGTGACTCTCCAGACAAGCCAGGAACAGAATGCCAACTGTAAACCCTGGTTTGGGTTTGGGTGTGAAGGGAAATGTTTGCTTCCTCCTGATTTCAGCAACTCCCAGTGGTGGGAGAAGTCGAGGAAAGCTGATTAGGCAGCATGTGCTAACATGCGCTCCTCAACGATAAGCCAAGATTGCTGTTGCCAAACATGGCCACTGTTGGCCCTACATTTACACTACAAGAAAGGTCTGGAAGTGTATTTGTTGTTCTTCTGTGCTCTCAAATTAGAACCAACTTAATAGGGACCCTAACAGGGTTTTCAGGTTAAGTGAGATATTTAAGGAGTGGCTTTTCCAGTTCCAGTTCCCCAGTACGTTTCTATGGCTGAGCGGGCATCAGAACCCTGTAGTACTCCACAGTCCTGGGCTATCGTTCTATCCACTACACACCACGCTGAGAACCAGGAAGTGTATTTAACATGTCAGAATTTTGCTGGAGCTTTAGAGTTCTTAAATGCTGGTCAGATATTTTCAAGGCATTGTTAAAACAATAACAAATAATTGTGATCATTTATAGGTTTGACACCAGAACTAATTACAAACAGTCTTGTGTGTGTTTGTGTGCATGCACGCATGTCAAAATCCCATTGTGTAGCTATGCCTGCATAATGCAAAGTTGCACAAAGTACGCACCAAGACAAATTGTATGCAACAAGTAGTTTTACAGACACAGTTATGCAACTAATCATGCAGTCAGCTATGTAGTTGCTCAGTCAGACACACAGATTGCCCAGATGATAATATTCAGGAACTTCTGCAGGCATAACTTTACACTAAGTGCAATAAGATTTTAGCCCTCAACTGACTGTTACTGTGAAGCAATGATATTATGTTACATTAATCACAAGTAACATATTAGTGAATCATTTTGTAGAAATATTGTACTATCCTTTAAACAGGGATAGCTACTGTACCGTTCTATAAATGGGAGTGATTTAATCAAGACTTGTTCTCTTCAACCTTGATCTTGGGATGTTGGGGGTGGACGTCAGTGACAGAACCAAATTTTTAAAATCCTTAAAGCAAAAATAAAATAAGAAAATAGTGGACACTTCTGGTGCTGCCGTTCGGAAGTCATTGAGCAGCTATTCTGCCTTTTTCTTCCTTAACAGATTTTTGGTGAAAATATAACAGAAGTGGCAGTAAAATATAGAAGGACTAAAAGTGGAAAGCCAGGATGCCTGGACGTTCTGCAAAAGTTTGTGAATGAAATGGGATAACAGCACAATTAAAGCCTTATCTGAAAGCATTTAGTGAGATTTTTTTTAAAAAAAGGCCAAGTGCTGTTATCATAATGGCTCCATAGAACATTGGGTAAGACTTGGCTGCACTCAAATAATAGGCAGCAGTTGATTGTGGATTGGACTGGTGTGGGTAATCCCAAATGCTACAGAATCTGGGGCCTTCCGGATGTGATGGAAGGACAACCCCATAATTCCCAGGTTGGTGGCTCTGCTGATGCTTGTGGTCAGAGTCGGTAGGCTAAAATGTCTGGAGAATCCCAGGTAAGGACAACCCCATAATTCCCAGGTTGGTGACTCTGCTGTGGTCAGAGTCAATAGGCTAAAATGTCTGGAGAATCCCAGGCTGGGAAAAGATGTTGTAGAACAACTGTATCTCTTTGGAAATCTATCTTTCAGTCACCTTTCCCTGGCATAGAACTCCCAGATAGCTCAGCCGTTCAGGTATCTCTGTCTGCAGACTCAGAGGCTGGGAGTTCAGTTTCCGGTTGTGCCGCCTTGACAGGGTCTGGACTCAATAATCTATAGGATCCGTTCAGGCTCTGCAGTTCCAAAATGGTGATGAAGACTGACTGAGCAATTTACTTTCCTGTTTGCTAGAAGGCAGCAACCTGGCTAGGTTAGAGGCAGTGCTGATAGAATAGTTGTGTGTTGCCCTTTCCTTTCAGCCTATTGTGGGCAGCAGATAAAGCGGATAGATTGGGACCACACCTCTTCCTTACGGTTCTGTTATCCAGAATGTGTGCCCTTGGAAGTCTTCGATTAGTTAGTGTTTAACCTTTTAACTTGGGAAAGAAGCTTGGCAAGTTACAGCAGAGAGACTTTACTCTGTAAGCTGTACCATTTCTCTAGATGTCTAAGCGATTTAGACTCTAAATCCCTTACCTGTATCAAGCTCTTGTACTGTTTATCTGTACACCTCCAGCTTCCTCTTCTTTCATCCATTTCAGTTCCCCTCCCCATTCTTCAAAAATGCAAATACCAGATTTTATATGAGGAGCATTGACACTGAGATACAACAAGCATGTTCTTTTGATGGATGGTTGTTTTCTGAGGGTGGGTTTTTTGTTTATTGGTGATACTGGATGGAAGCACCAGTGTCTTGAGGATCACATCCATGACATTGATCTTGTGTCTCCTTCCCTTTCAGCTACGAGGAAGAGGAACGTGTTCTGGCCGAGCAAGAGGAGTTCCTACCCCACATTGCCAGCAAGAAACTGAACCAATTCACTGACGTAGGTGATGAGGGTTGTGCTCAGATAACCTTTCTTTCACTCTGGGCAGACCTTGAGCCTCTCTTGACTCTCAAACTTGTACAAACCCAATGCAAGCAATCTGTTTCTTTGACCTCTAGCGTGTAACCATGCAGAGATCTCTTCCTGACCATATTTTATGGAGATGGCAGAGGCTCCTTACATGCCCAAAGAGAGAGCAACTTCTGCATTTGAGGTCTTTCTTGTTGACCTCATCTCTGTCTTCCGTGCCCCTTGACTGTTTCAGAGGATCTTGGATGAGGAGTTGCTGGAGTGCACAGTTAGCAGAATCACAAGGAATCTTTTTTAATGTTCTAAATCATGGATTGTTCCATTCAGACTGCAGGTGGGGAAACTGTCCATTGTTTTTCCACTGAAAGCAGTTCATGAGTGCAAAAAAAAAAGAGAGCACATGGTAGATTCCATGACATAGACAAAATTAAAATAGAGAACTTTTCCTTGCTGTGCTAGCTTCACACATCAATATTTCATTAAATATGAGAGCCTTCAAACATTATAAGTCGCCTCCACTTTGCAGTCTTGAGTAACAAATCTCAGCAGTGGCTGCAACGCATGATTCTTCTGGTAGCGAGTTTCATTTCTCACCCAGTTCTGAAACCTGCAGGCCTTTGATTCCAGTTTGGAATGTGACACTATTTTGTTCCTCTCCTTGTCCCTTTCTATTCTTTTTAAATCTCTACTTATTTCTCTGAGACCTCTTTATTCTTTGTCATCAGGTACCATAAGCATGTATGTATGTCCTGTACTTTGGATTGATGATTCTGGATAATCTTGTAGCTCTGTGCCCAGAGGCCCTCCAAAATCCTCCCATTTGCCAAAACTGGAAGCCACTCTTGTCCCTCCAAACCATGACAGCCCTAATGAAGGCCAGAATCCTATTTGTGCCATTATGCTCATGCAGCTTGAGGCTATACCCATGGTAGTTGCGCTAGTGCTGAATGCCCCCAAGTGTGCCAGGAACGCATGACCAGTTGCACCATTACATAGCGCTATTCCTTGTTGCTGGGTGTAATGCCCTTCCACATTGACACAGGCACAATATGATCAGGATTTTCTGCAGGATGTTAGCCAAAATTTTTTTCCTGCTGCTGCCCAAACAAGTAAAGCAGATCCTGGCAGATTTTCATTTTGGATTGCAAAAGGCCATGGTGGCTTGGAGATTCTGGGTCTTGTGGTCCAAAAATGTTACTTTTTTAATCTCTGTGTAATAGCAACCTTCTTGCCATCCCTTTTGTTTTATTGCTCATCCATTAGCAGGATTAATACTTTGCTTTTCTGTGCAGACCCTCCCCCACAAAAAACAAACAAACCCAGTGTCCTCAAATTCTTCCAGCCATTTTTTCTGACTAGGTTTCTGTCTTTCGTACTTTTGGCTTTGCAGTTTGAGGGGAAGACTTCCTTTGGCATGTCCATCTTTAACCTCAGCAATGCCATCATGGGCAGCGGTATCCTGGGCCTGGCCTATGCCATGAGAAACACGGGGATCATCCTCTTTGTGTAAGTGACCTTCCCGCAGCCCTCGGTCCAGAGGCAGAGCCTGGAAAGTTACCGGGAAAGGGGATGGATATAATGACATTCTGAAGCTGTCCGTAGCTGAGCAGTGGCAGATGTTGTCAATGCCGTCAGCGTAATATGGCATTCATTCTCCTTAAAATAACTTCTGAAATTTTGCCCGGGAGAAATGGATAGCCCTGGAAGTTTGGTCAAGGGTGAGGAGGAGATGGGAATCCATGTCTGCTTTTTCTGCTGATAGACATAAACTGATAGAATTGTGTGCCAGTAGTATGTTTTGGGGAGCACAGACAACCACATCATAATAACAACAGCAAAAACAAAGCAAACAAAGTCCGCAAAGAACTGCAACACCTTTTAAGACCACCAAATTTGTTTCGGTGTGAACTTTTGTGGAATATAGTCCATTTCAGATACATCTGGGAGAAGTAGATTGTGATCTACAAAACCTCTTAGTGAAGTACATTTTTGAGACTTAAATGGGTTGCAATACTTATTTCTGTGTTGTTGCTGTAACAGACTAATACAGCTACCTCTCAGCAACCACAATGGCTGAAAAGCTCTTCAGCAACAGCTGAAGCAGCAGTTGACTAAAACTCAGTGGAAAAAAATTAGATTTGAAGCTTAGGTTTGAGGCAGTCCAGCTTCGATGTCTGTTTATTCCTGCAAGAAAAAAAAAATCAGGCTGGCATTTGTTTTTGTCCTCCTTCTCTTATCAGGGTGCTTCTGATCTGCATCGCATTGCTCTCTTCCTATTCCATCCACTTGCTGTTGAAGTGTGCTGGGGTTGTGGGTAAGTTGTGGGCTTCAGGAGAATCTCTTCACCAGCAGAAGGGTTCTGTGAGGTACAAAGCAAAATCAGTTTGGCTATGGTGATGGGTGTTTGAGGAGACTAAATATTTAATAAGTGATGTTTTGTTTTAAAAGTTGGACATGATTCAAAAGAGTTTTTTTTGTTGGTTGTTCATTCTGGTCCAAATCCTGTTCCATAGTTACACACAAAGAAGGCAAATGGCATAACTTTCAGTGGCTTTTAGCTGACAGTTAATGAGTCCCTGCTGGGATTCTTGAGTACACCCCCACCAACCAGATTCCCTATGGTGACTTGTTAATTGCCAGCGAGAACCAACTGAATGCTATGCTGTTTGCCTTCTGCATGTGTAACTAGCTAACAGGATTTCAGCCACTGTTGTGTTGTGTTGTTCTGTTTTTACAGTGCCAAAAACCTGTTCATTTTTGTAACTCTGTCAATGTCAATATCTGGCCAAACAAGTTTAACAGGTTTTTGAATCAACACAAAATACATCCAAATCTTATGTCCAGAAGAAGAAATAGATGGATCGGCAAGAATACGAGCAGCATTCAAAAATGTTGTCTGTCCCTAGCTTATATTGGTATCATCTAGTTGCCCGAGGTACTTATGCACATTGGACTGTATACCAGCAGAGATTAGGGCAGGCCACAAGGACCCACATATGAGAACTAGGAGGATCTGAAATGCTGTAACACTGCTTCAAACTGCAGGTAGGAAAAGTTGTCCTAAAAGTGGATTAAAGTGAGGCTATAATCACCCCATCACCCCATCTCATCAATTACATTTTGTGTGGTTTCAGACAATGTTGCCTTCAACTTCAACCCTCTCTTGTTGTTCCAACACTTCTTCCATCCTTTTCTTTAGCAGAGGAAATCTATAAAGGGATTGGCAGGGTGAGGTGGGGAAATAGAACAGTAGCTTAGTGCCTTCTAGTGTTTAAAATGAGGATCCCTCCATTAGAAAACACTCCCAGAAAATATTTATATAGCAGATTTGCTACGCCATGCTACGAATTGCTTCAGAGAGATGTTTCATTTCTCAGGTGACCTTGGGGGACTGTAGTGAAGTTGGAGGATGTGAGAATACTTGCCATGCTACACCATGGTGGGAAAGCCATTCTCTAGCACAGCAGTCCCCAACCTTTTTCAGTCCACAGACCGGCTGGGGAAGGCGGGGCACACCCCCCCACGCTCGTGTGCATGCGCAAACAGCATGCGACGCTCACATGGCACAGACCGGCTGGGGAAGGCGGGGCACCCTCCCACACTCGTATGCATGCGCAAACAGCATGTGACGCTCACACGGGCATGCTGGAGCACACGTGCAGGTGCAAACGGACTGTGCAGGGGTGAGTGCGTGCGGGGGTGGGGCAGGAGGTCTGTCTCGGCGGCCCAGTCTGGCTTAGGCCAACGGACTGGCATCGGACTGCAGATTGAGGGTTGGGAAACCGCTCAGGCCACGGACTGGCACCAGGCTGCAGATCGAGGGTTGGGTAACATCTGCTCTAGCAATATCCTTTCAACTCCTTCACCTCGTATGTGCAACACTCAAGAATCTTGAGCCTGTATCCTGTTAAATTTCTGCTGAATGGAATGTCCTGCCAACATAGTAAATGTGGGATCATAGTCCTTGCACAAGTACTGCCACGGCAGACATGGTGAACTCCATGAAAAAAAAAACCATGTGTGGCTCTCCAGTGGCAACATATGTGGAAACAATGTGACCCCATGCTACTACATTGCTGGGATGTTGTGTTCATCAGAAGCTCGATAGGTGGTTTTTAAGTTGACTTGAGCATCATGTGGAAAGATGGGTTTTAAGTTTTTTAATGTGGTGTATGAACAGAGCAGCTTTTTCTGAAAAACGCAGTTGGTCTTTTATACACTGTTATTACCAGTGAGTTCCATACTTTCCTAATTAAGCAGGTTAAGGAATGTGTTCTGTTGAAGGAAGCCATGCCTGTCAAGACAGGTAATGCAAACATGTGCATGGGTTGGAGTGGTGGCAACACCAAGCCAAGAGTTATGAGTAGTAATTAAAATGATATGATTTGCAGAAATCTCTCTCTCTCTCTCTCTCCCTCCCTCTCCCCCCATTTCATATATTTAGGAATTAGAGCATATGAACAGCTGGGTCTCAGGGCATTTGGCCACGGGGGCAAAGTGGTTGCTGCTGTGATAATCTCAATACACAACATAGGTGGTAAGGACCTGCTCTTACTAATGGGTTACTCCCATACCAGCTGAAAAGGCAAAAACAAGCAGGACAGTGTGTGCTCTAAGGTGAAATAAAATCCTGCCATGGTAACATGAATTCTGTACTATAAAAAAGGCATAGAACTTCATGGCCTCTTGCATATTATGTAATAAGTGTGGTTGCATGTTGGCTGGGTAGCTCAGTGAGTTAGGTCCCCGGCTGCAGAGCCAGAGGTTAGGAGTTAATTTCCCACCAGGCCTCCAAGCAGAAGAGCCAGCCTGTATGGCCATGGGCAAGCTACACAGTCACACAGCACCCTCCTCAGAAGGGAAGGATAAACCAGTTCTCGTTACTGAGAAAACCCTGAAAAGCATCCCCTTAAGTGAGAATTTACTTGACTGTAGATGTTGTTTTTATTCTCGTTACTGAGAAAACCCTGAAAAGCATCACCTTAAGTGAGAATTTACTTGACAGTAGACTGTTGATGTTGTTGTTATGGCCATACAATTGCTTCCATTGCAAAATGTGTTGCATTTATGCTACCTAAGAATCTGCTAGTTGTGTGGGGTGTGTATAAGGAACTCTAGGAGGTTACAAACCCTGATGTCTTAAACATCTGTGGCTGTGCAATTGGGTTCTGCATAAAGTGCTGCATTTGCACCATGGTGACTGCAGGAATTACATCATTCATCCTGGGTGTTGATCTTTTTCTTGCTCATCAGCCAAATACAGTCACAATCCTGACAACTTGCTTTCTTCACAGCAATGTCCAGTTACTTGTTCATTGTGAAATCTGAGCTGCCACTTGTGATCCAAACCTTCCTAGGACTGACAAGGAACAACGGGTAAGCAAAATGCACAGTTCAATTCCCAGCTGCCCACCGATATAATCTTGTTTCACAAGTAATTGTTTTAGATAATTACTATAAACTGCAAAAGAACACCAACAAATATTCTGTGGCCTATCCCTTTGAAAAAATAGGTTTGGCGACCAGTATGCCTTTCCCCCCCCCTTACAAATTTGCTCCAGAATGAAGTAAAAGGAGGCCATCTCCCACTGTTACTTAAGTTCCTAGGAGTTACCAAAGCAGTTCACTTATACTTTGCTGCCTCCAATCTGGTGCTTGACCTACAACTTCTATAATACCACAGGTAGCATCCAAGTGCTGTTGTAGGATTATCTGAGTTGTGGTCTAGATATCTGGAAGGCACCAGCTAAAGGTTGTCCTACTGCAGAAACAGTCCTTAGGCTTTCAGGAAATCCCTGCCCCTCTGTTTTTGTGTTTTTCAGTGGCACACCGCTCTTTTTCTGTTTTAAAAAAAGAGAGAGATTTGTTGCTCCCAAAAGTCTTCCAGAGTGGCAAAATACATTTTTAAATAGGTCACCATGCACCATCTAACACCCCCAAAATACCAGTTTTGCAAAACCAGAAGCAGATTTATAGTCATCTACACCTACGCCTTCTCTTCCCTCTTCCTTGCCTTCTTTCTCTCCTGGGTGGTCTGTGCAGCTGCTGGAAGGTTTGAGGCAGCAGAAACTTGGCCCTGAAACTGCCAAAGCTGCCCCTCCCTTGCTATTGTGCCTTCCCTGGTCATACCATGAAGAATTTCAATGAAGACACTTAATAATTTCATCTCAGAATCACCTTGGAAGTAACCCTTGACCATATCAGTTGCTATTTTATGGACATGAACATTCAGTGGCCTTCCCTTGTGGAGCCACCTTAGGGCCACTGTGACCTCAAATGAGACTAGAGGTTGTGTGTGTGTGTGTGTGTGTGTGTGTGTGTGTGTGTGTGTGTGTGTGTGTGTGTACACACCACCTCTAGTCGCATCTGAGATCACATATACACACACATATACACCCATGTTAGGACAACACACTCTTCCGTTCTCCCTCCCTGCCCCTACTCTTCCCTCGAAGTAAGGCTTGCTGTGAGCCTTTCACAACACTTCTATAGAGGGAAACAGCTGGTCTTTTTGGCTCCTTTCCTCCTTCTATAAATGGATCCATCTGGGGCCTGCTGCCCTACTCACATGCCTTCCACAACCAGGAGAATTATGGGCCCAAGCCCCTCCTCTTTGTTGCTCAACAGCATAAGGACTCGGAGGACTGACCCAACAGCACCCTTTCAAGGGAAAAATGGGGAGAGGCAGCATGGATTCCCCCCCCGTAAAATAATCAGAAGCTCGTCCCTGTCCACACTTACACTTTGAACTCAGAATCAAACTGTCCACAACACATTCACATGCAAAGCTACCCCAAGGCCCATTTCTGAGGTCAGGTTAAACTTGGAACAGAAGCCTAGAGTAGGGTAAAATCAGGTGAAAGGGGACTGTCTGCCATTGAAGGAAGCAGCAGGTGAGAAATGGGTTAAACAATTTCTGTTCCCCATACCTGTTTCTCCACAGCAAGATTCCCCATCTGAGGAAGTGTTGTTAGGCCAACCTTCTCCAACCAGGAGTCATTTAGATGTTCTGGGCTACAACCTCATTGTGCCCAGGTGGACACACACCAGGCTGGGGACAGTTGCACGAGGGCCAGGTTTTGTGTTAGTGTGTTATAGCATGCTGTTGGGCCCTCACACTTACAGTAGCCCATTCCAATGGCAGAAACGCTCTAGAGTTTGAGGCAGAATTCTTTCTTACCAATGGTTGGAGATCCGTGGCGTTCTCTGGTGATCACACATCCGAGTAATTGGGAGGCACAACCCTGCTTAGCTTCCAAAATCAGATGCTACTGATGTGGACAAGCTGGAATGGCAGTCTAAGGATTTTATTGAAGGATATAGTAAAAAACAGGGCTGTCCTGAGACATTTTTCTGCCTGAACTGGAATAGCAAATGGTGCTTCCCCAGTCACCCATGTCAAAGTGACTGGTACCTAAAGCCAGAACAGTTATTTTGGCGCTTGAGAAAATTCTACAAAAGGTAACTCGGGTTTCTCTGTTGTTGCCCCAAGACTTCTGTGGCTCTCGGCATGGACCCAGTGCAGCCATGCAATGCCTCTGTTGCACATGGTCTCACCTCCCTCTCCCCTGTCAAGTCCCCACCGTGAGGGGACTTATTCTTCAGATGTGAATAAAAAGTATTTTGCTCGTTATCCTGGCTAATTAATGTAGGCTTTGGAAAGGTAAAGGTAAAGGACAGTCTACTGCAAAAGAGTGCAGGACACCTGTACTTCTGAATCATTCTGCAAATAGACAACATCCGTCTGTGGGAGGTGTAAAAAACTGAGTCAGAAAAATGATCCCACCCTTCTCCCAGCGTGGATGTCCTCATTAATGAAATTATTAAAGGCCCAGTAGCCCTGTTTTGTTTTGTTCACCTCCGTCCATGCTAGGGAGTCAGAGACCTCATGGTGTCCTTATTGTGACTCTGGCACTGTTTGTTTTCAGTGAGTGGTATATGAATGGGAACGTTTTAATCGTCATTGCCACGGTCTGTGTCATCCTGCCTCTGGCCATGATGAAACACTTGGGTAAGTGACAAGGAGTACCTGCTCTGGGTGGTTTGCTTCAGGATGGCTTAAGTAAACAACATCTGGGGCTCCTGGGCGTGTTTTTGCGTCACTGCTGATTCTCTTTTACCTGAAAGTTCAAGGCAAGATCCTGTTGATTTTTCCACCCCATTGACTAAGGCATATGTACTTATTTCTACTGCCCTCTTCTGGAGGAAATCAGGTGTTATACCCTTGGCTCTGACTGACTGATATAGTTAGAAACTGAAGTCATGGTAATCCAGATCTGAGGCTCCTGTTGAGCGGTTCAAATTCTACCTTTCCCTTGTGTTAGCGATAAAGAGAACTAAAGAAGAGGCACAGAAATTGTAACAACAGGTTCAAATCTTTTAGTGTTGTTAAATTAATCACAATAGGACGTAAAACCTTACAACTCAAAATACTGTATGTTATCCATGCCTAAGCAAGTGTAACAAAGAATAAAATTGTATTGGCTTTATCTGCAAAGAGGGAAATGTTCTGAAGGCATTATTGATTATCTATGCCCCTTTTCCTGCCCAGAAATAGCAAGACAATACCACTTAGGGTATGACTACGCAGCAAGAAAATAGGAATGAATCTGCTGTGAAATTGCACCCAAGAAGCTGAGTTTCCCTGGTTAATTTGTTTCAGCTGACCACACAGAAGTCAGCAGATTGAGAGGAAGAAATCAGCCTTGTTTGTAGCTTATTCACTCTTTGAATCCTCTCCTTCCCACTTCTGGTGCCTGGGCCTGCTTGTTTCTTTCTTCCCATCCTGTTCTGTTTCTTTACCTGACCCCCCCCCTTTTAAACACTTGCCGTCCTTGCGTTAGGTCAGCTAGGTGACTGTGAGGAAGGGGCCTCCGGCACCCCCAGCAGACTGTCTGTTCTCGCCCTGGGCCCCTTGCAAGGTCCCCTTGGAGTTGACATCTGCTGGGTCTCCCGGCAGGCACTGCTAATTAGGCTGCCCAGATTAGGGAAAAGGAGACGCCCAGTGACAAGAGCCACCTTGGAGAGGAGGCAGGGAGGTGTGTGGGAAAGAAGGCGGCAGGAAGAAGAGGCAGTGACCAGGATTATGGAAGAGGAAGAGGAAGATCTGGAAACAGAGGCAGAAAAGACTTGTGGTGACACAGTGGAGGGCCTCAAGCCAGCCCTCTTCACCAAGTGGGGGTGGTGTGCATGAGTACACCAGTGGGGAGAACACGTGGACAAAGGTCCTGGTGGAGTTTGGTCCGCCCCAGGGAAGGGGCTGTGGCTGAGGCTTGCACCAGGTTCCTTGCCCACCCCCCACAACACCTGAACTGCCACTGGAGACTGTCGCAACCCATCAGACAGCTGACCCCTACTCTTGACTCAGAAGAGGCACCGGAGATGCCAACACCAATCGGAAGGTCAACAAGCGATAGCAGGAGGGGGCAGTAAATCCCATGGGGTAGTGGTGGCTCACCTTTATAGACCTTCCCCGAGGTGGTGTCACTTGGTGGGGAAAATTCCTGGGACCTTTGGCAGCCCCTCACCTCATGTACATGCTGGTCCCAGTGGAGACAACTGGGAAACCAAAAGTATATAGACCATCCGGGAGGGGTCTGGTGACAGGGCTCAGTCCCCCAAATGAACAGATGGGCAGGGAAGAGATTCTTACTGTTACCAAAGCTGTATCACATGTTCAGGAGTTAATAAAGGTAGCTTTAACTCACCTTCCTGGCATGGAGCCTGTGGATAAAAACACCAAGGAGGTTTTGCTTGCCACGCCAGCACTTGGCAGAGTGACTGAAGAAGGAAAGAAAAGTGACAAATTGGCAAAGAGACAGGAAGACGTGACTGAAGAAGGAAAGAAAAGTGACAAACTGGCAAAGAGACAGGAAGAAGTTTTCAGTTCAGCCTTGTTTCCAGCTGCTTAAGGTAGTTCTGCTCTGCCTATCCGGGATTGAAGCAGGCACAGTTAGATCAGATCTACCTTAAAAATTCTTCCCCTCTTTTCCTGACCTCTTTGTTTACCCACCTGCCACAACACTAGATTAGCAAGCCAGAGAAAGAAAGAAAGAAAGAAAGAAAGAAAGAAAACATACAGGCAGCAGCAGAAGATTCAAACTAGACATGGAGCTTTGTATTCGTATCCTGCGGGTACGAATATGAAGCACAGCAGTATCAGTGCTACAGCGGTCCATTCCCACTCCCCTGAACCAGCCTGGTCCACTCAGTGAGCTCTGCGCGGTGCTCACTTCTGTCAGCATCATCGTTGTGCCGATTGTGGAAATAGTCTCGCCACCGCTTCCCTGTCTCTCCCCACAGCTAACCACTCAGCACATGCACAGGGAGACTTGTCTTCCTGTCTTCTTGCTGAAGTGCAGAGGCGGGGAAGAGCCAGCGGGACTACTTCCACGATTGGCATGATGACAACACTGATGGATGCACATGCTGCACAGAGCCCAGTGAGTGGACTGGGCTAGTAATGGACCATTGTGTTTGGTATTCTTATCCCCTGGATACGAATATGAAGTTCCCATGTCTAATTCAAACAGCAGCCAATTTCCCTGCTGCCTGCCTCTGCTGCTGCTGTAGCCAGCTGGAAGGGCCTTAAATACATTGGCTGCAAACCTCTCCATACTGGATAGAGTTACCATCTCCTTTGACCTAATGTGAACATATTTGATTCAAAAAAGTAGCCCCAGTGATGGAGGGAAAAAATTGCAGATTTAGTGCTTGAGGGGGGGGGGAAACACAGGACTTCAGACTTATTCATTTTGACTTTTACATCATGGAGAATAATGCCTATCAGACTGTCCTAATCCCAGAACATTTCCCACGTTATTTGTCAGCGTAGTTGCCTCCTCAGACCCCTCCATAAGAATACAGTACCTGATTAGGGTTGCCAATTTTATGCCTGGGGACAGGAGCCTTGTGCCTTTTAACAGTTGTGTGATTTGTGTCCATTAGATACTGCTTTTGTAGACCTGAAGAGGCCCTGACAAGGGGAACTTTACCTGTTGACTTTCCATTTGTTGGGAAGGTTAAAAGTACAGTATCCTTGGTTCACTCTGCCCACTCACTGGAACAGAAATTGTAGACCTGAAGAGGCCCTGACAAGGGAAACTTTACCTCTTGACTTTCCATTTGTTGGGAAAGTTAAAAGTACAGTATCCTTGGTTCACTCTGCCCACTCACTGGAACAGAAAACAAAACTGGGGGGGGGGCAAATGTGTAGCCTGTATAATTAAATTGTAAACCGCCCGGAGAGTGCTTGTAGCGTTATGGGGCGGTATATAAGTCCAATAAATAAATAAATAAATAAAATTAAAAGTATAGTATCCTTGGTTCACTCTGCCCACTCCCTGAAACAGAAGCAAAAACAAAACAAACCCCTCAGGCAAAAGAGGAGGTTAGCTGAAACAGGCAAGGGAGGAGGGGGGGCACACACAATTTCTGCCTTCCATGTCCCACAATGAGAATGGCCCGGGTGATCGCTTGGGATAAGACGATGAACTGTCTGAACAACCTGAGTTTCTTTTATAATGACTGCTGTCTTGTAAGTTGACGCCCCCTCTCTTGCTCTCCTCCTCTTCACAGGCTATCTTGGTTATACCAGTGGACTTTCACTCACTTGCATGTGTTTCTTTCTCATCTCGGTGAGTTGACAAAGAACTTCTAGAGAGTCCAGCTTCACCTGGGAAGAAAATTCTGCCTCCCAATTAAGTTGCTAGCCATTAGTATAAAACACAAATATATTTGGCTGTGAATATTTGTGTAGAAGGGGAAGAAGACCTGGCCGTTAAAGCCATCTACTCCCCCATTGTTTTTCTTTCTTTCTTTCTGATCTTGTGACTCACCTGCTGTGTCTTTTTCCCATCACCAAAGGTTATCTACAAGAAGTTCCAGATTGCTTGCCCACATTCTCTCAATGACACCCTGGGGAACAGCAGCACAGTGAGCACTAAGGAGGACACCTGCACCACGGAGCTTTTCACAGTCAATTCACAGGTGAGCAAGAGTTTGGGGCTTTGAAGTCCTTTAGGGGGTGGTTGAGGGACTGAGGGGCTTTCGGGTGGTAGGAACTGCATCCAACGAGGACCTGCAAAATGAACTTTAAGGAAACTGTATCAGTGATACCTGTGCTACTGGGGATATTGGCTTCCTCCAGTGTCTAGAATTAAGGATTTCAGCATTGTTAGACAGCAATAAGCATGTCTCAGTGAGTGCATCTTCTTTATAATATGTCTTGGCTGGGGTCCTTTGGGGCTCTGGAGAACACTGGAGATCTCTCAGTTGCACACATGATTCTAGTACCTTGTCAGAGATCCTTTTACAGAAAATCAGGCTTACCAGGAGATACTGGGGCCATTGTGCAAGTCATTTGTCTCAACAAGATCCTGGCCTAAGGGGTACGGAATGTTTGGCTCTCAAACGTTTGGACTGCAGCTCCCATCAGCCCCAGTCATGGGAGCCATTAGTAGAGAATAGTGGGAGTTGCTATCTAGTAACATGTGGAAGGTCACCTGGGCCTTTGTCTCTGCTACGCAAGTTTCATCTAAAATAATTTGGATCACAAGGGCCTCTTGCAGAATACTACAAAACCTCTGCAGAATGTTGATTCAGCCCCTAAAGAGTTCTTATTGAATGTCTGTGTAAACGTCTGATACAGGAGTGTTAGGATAAGGCTAGAACATTGACTATGAAAATATTCCGAGATTCTGTGCTGAGATGTCCTTATTGAGCCATGGCAAATGTTTTCTCTACTTTACTGACAGAAAGTGATAACTATAACTTTTAGGAGCAAATAATAGATCAAGAGCTGTTATAGGGTAGTATTAGAAGAGTTCTCTCTCTAGTTAATAAATTAAATGCCATAAATGCAGCAAGTACTACATCTCACAAGCCATAGAGTATACCTCTTCTTGCAGGTGGAGAGGGAAGTGGGCCCACGCATATACTTCTCAGATGGTCTCAGAGTCTTCCATTGTTGTGGCTGCCTTGCTGGCCATGAGGGAAAAAAAGGGGGTGTGTGTTTACCAATAGTGGTTCAGGGGAGGCCTTGGATTTACTGGGTTTAATGACGCCCCCCACTGGAGGCAGTGGGAGGGAAATTTTCAATAAACTGAATAAAAAGGGAAGGTGTGGGAGTACGTGTGGGGGAAATGGCTTGTCTGTTTGTCCTAGCTGGCCTGAGCCTGACAGGGCTTAGGAAGGGACAGTTCTTATGCCACAGATTCTCTCTCCCTGTCACCCTGAAGAAAACTGTGTTTATTATTTACTTCCAGTAGTAAAGAAGCAGGAGGGGGGAACAGTAATTGTAGGACACCACCCCACAAATGGAAGCACTTCCTGCCGATACAAAGCCATTATTCAGAATAAGCCATCATTTATTTATTTGTTTCATATTCTTCTAACCTATTTTGAGTGTTTCCTTAAAAACATTAAAAAGGAGGAATAAAATATATCGATGATGAATATAAAAAAATTGAGGATAAAGGCAGGGGTGGGATTTGTTGGCAGTCTGATGTTTCAGGCTGTGCAATTGGAAATAGAAAACAAACTTGGGATTCCTTCTCCTTTTGCAGACGGCTTATGCCATCCCCATCTTGGCCTTTGCCTTTGTTTGCCATCCGGAAGTGCTTCCTATTTATACGGAGCTACACAGGTAAGTAAACTTGATGTAATGGAAAATGATTAAAGAGGGGAAGGTTGTGCTAGGTTTGGATTGTGTGGAGGAAGTGGGTTGGTTGGTTGGTTTTTAATGAGGCAGAACAGCCTTTTGGAGTATTAGTTTGCCTGTGGAGCAGAACACCTGCCCCAAAATTTCTTAGCATCACATTGCCCCCTTCTTGATTTTTGAGAAACCCTTATGCCTCCCTGCTTCTTTTTTGCCGCCATCCAACTCCCTGTGAAGAGAAGTTTCTATTCATAATAAAAAAATAAAAAATAAACACAAAAATCTAATGAAAATTATTTAAATTTTTTTAAAAAAATTATACTTATTTAGTTTTCTTTGAGAAGTCCTAAAGTCTAATAATGATATCTATCACAAAGAAGGTGTTTACGCTGATGAAAATACTTTCTTGTATGAAAATCCCAGTCTTCATCTCCCCCACCCAACCCCACAGGCATGCTTCCCACTCCCGCACCCTGAGGACCAGTGGACTTAATGATCCATTGGGTCCTTTCCAGCTGTGTGAAAGATGGAAGATCTAATCAGAAGACCCCATTTTTGAAGCTGGGAGGTTGCCTGGGAGCTGGATTTCCCACCCACTCCTCAGGATCACAACATCACATCAACAACAGCCCTCCTTCTAGGTTCTAGCAGTTTCTTTGCAAAATGAGAATGTGCTTCCAGGTCCTCTGGGATATTTAGCCGTGCATTCAAGGGAAGACTTTTTGCCTTTGTGTGCCATACTTTCCTTTCCTTTGTTACTTCTAATCAGGATCATTTGTAATCGGGGAGTGGGGGGGGGCAGCATTGGTCGGGCCAAAAGCGAAATGTGGGAGAGAGATGGCTGGTTTCTGGGTGATCTCTAATTTGCCATTAAGGCACTTATTCTCATGTCAGTAATTCCAAGGTAGGAAGGGGAATGCGTCTCTTTCAACATACTCTATTTCACCTCAATCTCCAACCACCCCTCCATGCGAGCTAAGTAAAAGAAAGCAAGGTGTCCCCTTTTTTAAACCAGCCAACGGTTTTGTGCGCGAAAAATGTAAACCCATGATGGTGTCTGTCTGCTGGATTAGAAGTGGGGCCCAGCTTCCGCCTCAGACTCTTTCTTGTGAGATGAGTTGGCGGAGTTGACTCTGACGGGATTGGGGCCTAGCAGGTTCCACCCTAATGAGTGAGCCATCTCTGACTTTCTTAGGGCCTCAAAGCGTCGGATGCAGAATGTAGCGAATGTCTCCATCCTAGCCATGTTTGTCATGTACCTCCTGACTGCTGTCTTTGGTTACCTCACATTTTACGGTAAGCTACAGTTTCCCCAGCAGGTCATGATGGGGGCTGCAATTTGAGTATTTTTCTTACACAGGAATAGAGGTATGTTTCTCTCTCCTTCTTGACACTTTCTTAGCTGCCAGATGTTTGAAATGTCACTCATCCCCTGATATTCCATAATAATCCTATTACCAAGACTGCTTTTGGTTCTGTGGCCCTTTCTCTTCTTACCCATAGAAAGGCAAGAGGAAGATACCCACAAACTCACCCAAGATGGTGAGGCATCCCCCCAATTAAAAGGTGTATGTGCTCCAGAAATGGAGATTTTCCTGAGCCACCGCTGGGAACCTTTGACCGTCTGCATGCTTTAGACAGAAGCGTCAGCCAGGGTGACGAGCGGCAAAGCAGTGTGAGAGTTCTAGTTCAAAACATCAGGAACGGCCGAAGGTTTTCAGTCTCAGCCTTAAACTCTTACTGGGACACCTTGGAGGTGTATTGCATTTACATCTCACATTTCCTACAAGGAGCAAAGGCATGGCTCCCCTACTCTGCTCCATTTTAATTCTCACAATACTGCTCTGAGGTCAGATGAGACACTGCAACAGACCTGAAAACATTCTATAAGCTTCATGGCTGGATGCAAAGGTGGTGCATTAAGGCCTTGGCCTTCTTATGAGTAGTTTGACTTGTCAGAGCTTCTGAACTGTGGTGTCATGAAACCTGGCAGACAGTTTTTAGTTACTCAATTAAAAATGCGGAGTAAGGGTTGGGAGGGACAACAACTTTTGTGAGAGCTTATAACTGAATGTCTATCTTTAGGCCAAATGTAAAAATTCAATTAAATCCCTTCCTGATGTTGTTCTCTTATTTCTTGTTCTTTAATGGCCAGAATCCTACTGAGTAAATTATGCCTGCATAAAGGTGATGTCACTATCAAGGAGCGATTGCCAGTAATTAAGAAATTCCTGTTTTGGTCCTGGTGCTTGCCCAGCTCATCTCCAGTGATATTTGATTGCAGATGAGTTGTGGCCAAGCAGAAACTTATTGATTACTACATTGACTCTGCTGGTAATGACACCACTCGTATATGCAGTCCTAATTTGCTCAACAGGATTTTAGCAATAGCTGTGCTTATATTCTACCCTTCCTCCAGTGAGTTGAGGCTGGTACACAAAGTTCTTCTCTTTTAACCTCACAGCAGTAACTGTGTGAAGCAGGCTACGCTGAGAGAGAAAAGTCCAAGGCACCAAGTGAGTTTTGTGGCTAAGGGGGAGACTTGAATGTGGATAATTCACATCCTGGACCCTCGCTCTAAATCATTGCACCAAAGTAGTTCAAGTTTGATTGTGGGATTGAATCCTAACACCAACATCTGCAAATGCTCTTTGGAAGAGAGAAATTAAAAGTCAGCCTTCTCCTCTCAGCCTCACCCTTGGGTCAAAGGTAGCATCTAGTTAAATCCTGTCCCTGAAGTCGTTCATTGACTGCTTTATATTTGCCATTTCTCTGATGCCTTGGATGCAAGGGTGGCTTGTGTACCAGAGCACCGGAGCATCTCAACCCCAAATTTTGGAGGAGGCTGTATCACCACTGTCTAGTCACAAAGCCACCTGTTCTTCTTTCTGTCAGAGACCGTTGAAGCAGAGATGTTACATACCTACAGCAAAGTCGACCCTGGGGACAAGCTGATCCTTTGTGTCCGGCTGGCTGTCCTGTTGGCTGTGACGCTCACGGTCCCTGTGGTTTTGTTTCCGGTAAGAGACTCTGTTTCTTTGCCTCCTTTTTTGCCTTGAATGACTCTCACCTCCCCACAACGAAACACTTGCATTCGGACTCCAGGCAGAGGAGTTCTTTGTAATCTCTCTTCATTTTAAAATTCTGTCTCACAGGGCAGGGTCTGAAATGGAACTAAGATATTAGGTCACAGTTAATGGGAGCTGGAAAAGGCTTGATGCAATTCACAGTAATTTGTTTAATTGTACTAACCCTGATTTTGTGTCATTGATACAAACAAGGTAAAAATATTTCCTGCCCTATTTCCCTTTCTCTTCTCTTGTTCTCTCTTGTTTCTTTTGAATGTGATACAAACAAGGTAAAAATATTTCCTGCCTTATTTCCCTTTCTCTTCTCTTGCTCTCCCTTGTTTCTTTTGAATGTAAGCCCCGGGGGGCTGGGGGGGGGGAGGGATTTCCCTTCTCTCATTCTTTGTAAAGCAAAGCAATCTGTGCTGCTTACACCGTAAAGCACTCTCTGGGCAGTTTATAGGTTAATTATGCAGCCTACACAAAGCACCAAGCGCATAGGAAATAGTCAGCTTTAGTCTTGTGGATGTTTTTGGCGTAGAATTTTTAAAAAATCATTTTTATTGTGCATAAGATGTACAAGAAAAGGAGGAAAAATCCTAACATATACAAATACACAGAAGAAAAAAAATTATCTTAGGTGAAGAGCTAGAGACAAACTGTTCAGTGTTTTGGTCTATAACTCCCATCATCCTTAGCCACCGTAGCCCATGATGAGGGATTGGAGGACTTGGGAGTCCAAAAACATCTGCAGGGCCACCCTGAAGTACTTGTATAGTGCTGTGTAACACATGAAACATCACTGCAGCTGTTTAAAATGCTGCAACGAGCTTCAAGGTACATTATTTGGGTAATCCTTACAGTATACCTGGAAAGTTAGCCACTTTGTCCCCCATGGAAGAAGAAGAAGCCCATGAAGCTGGAGCAGTTAAATTTAGTTCTTCCTGTACATTGTTCCAACTGCAACATGGAATGGCTGGGAAAAGGGTTGGCCGTGTCTTACCACTAGTTTTGAGTCTCCATTTTGATAGCTGCTCTCATCCCTTGATGCAAGGTGACATCTTTCCATATGTAGAGCTGCGAAAGGCACCTGCCTGTGAGCAGCAGGTGAGAAGTCTTTGCACCGCCCCTGGGTCTCCTGTTTGCCCAGGCGCCCTTGCGTGCAACTCATCTTCTTCTCCCCTGTAGATCCGCAGAGCCATCCAGCAGTTGTTGTTCCACAAGAAGGATTTCAGCTGGGTCCGTCACGTCATCATTGCCTCCTGCCTCCTTGTCACTGTGAACCTCCTTGTCATCTTTGTGCCAAACATCAAGGATATTTTTGGAGTCATTGGTAAGCTTGAGACTTTAGTTTTAAATGTTTCACCTGGGGACCACTGACTTTTTTTTGACGCAGAGCCATCCAGCAGTTGTTGTTCCACAAGAAGGATTTCAGCTGGGTCCGTCACGTCATCATTGCCTCCTGCCTCCTTGTCACTGTGAACCTCCTTGTCATCTTTGTGCCAAACATCAAGGATATTTTTGGAGTCATTGGTAAGCTTGAGACTTTAGTTTTAAATGTTTCACCTGGGGACCACTGACTCTTTTTTTGATGTGTGTGTGCTTTGGCTTGTGTTTTGCTTCTAGATGCTTTTTTTTTTGCATACTGCTTTAACATTCCATTTTAGATGCAGCAAGCAATAATATTGAGTATTGCTCATTAATTGATCAATGAGCAATATAATAAGCACAGATGGTTTCCCTCCCAGATTATAATGATAAAACATAACAAAACAGCTTAGTGGGAAGCCGAGAGAGCAGAACACCACAGTCCAGTTCTAAGAGACTGCAGGCAATTTTAAAATTATTTTTACACAGTTTGCACTGAGATGAGCAGCTTGTGGCTCTCCAGAGGCTGCTGGGCAAATCCCATCATTCCTCTCCATAGAGTTTTAAAATTATTTTTACACAGTTTGCACTTAGATGAGCAGCTTGTGGCTCTCCAGAGGTTGCTGGGCAAATCCCATCATTCCTCTCGATAGACTGACTAAGGTTGATGGGAGTTGCAGTCCAGTAACCTCTGGAGAAGCTGCATGATGCCCCCAGTGTCTCTGCAGAATTCCACACTTGTGGAGAGAAGGGGGTAGGATGAGTGTGGCGCAGTGTTACTGGTATGGGTTTGCCATGGTTGTGCTGAACAAGGATAAGACTAATGCCGTGGTTCCCAACTACAACTCCTAAGAAATCCTGGCCAGCACAGCTGGTGGGAAAGGCTTCTGGGAGCTTTAGTTGAAGGGCATCTGGGGACCCAAGGATGGGAACCACTGTGCTCGTGTCTTCAGAGTTCTCCTGGAAGGGACATTTTGCTATGAGTATACAACCTGCAATCTAATGTCCACGACTTGTTTTGCTAAGAGTCTGACTACATATTCATTCATTCATTCATCCAGCTTGCATCGCTGTGTATCAATGGGTTAAAGCTACCTACTGGTTGCACTAATATTTCAGGGCTTTCACAATATTCAAAATAGTTCAGTACAGCCTAGGCTGGGGAGGGTCCGAGTCCATACAGATCTGCATGGAGCCACATTAGCTGCTCAGAGTTTAGTGCCGTAGCTCTGCGATGCCTCTTGACGACAAACCCCACCCCACCCCTTGCTTCCCTATGCAGAAAACAGGGCTGTGGAGTTGTCTGCCTTTGCTCTGCCCCTACTCCCCTCTGCCCAGGAGTGTACAGAAGTTAAAATAGATCTGTGCTAGAGGATACAATCTCATTTTATTTGCAAGCGGCCATAAAAACTGGATTCCCAGTGGGGTGTCATGGAGAGAGTAATGGGCAGGGACGCAGGACGCCTGGGTTCCAATCCCTACTCAGTTGGGAGAAACTCACTGGGGGAGTAGAATTAATAAAGCCTTTCCTTAAGTATCTTGCTTACCTTGAAAGCCCTGTTAGGGTTACTATACATTGGTTCTGACTTAACAGCACATAAGAACTGCAATAAAAACTGGCTAAAAATGATGATGAGACCAATAGAAATATATGCTTACAAATTGTATAGAGCAAAAATTTCAGTGGATGTTAAGAGCCACCATTAAGTAATAGGTCACCTGGGGAGTCGCTTGTGCAGGTGTCAGGTTGCAGCTTTATCCAGTTCCATACGGTCTGGATCTTGTAAGCATATTTTTTTTTCTGGTGGGGGGGCTCTGACTTCTTGCTGCCCATAAGCTGCTGGGAATTGTCCTTCAAGAAAGTCACTTTGATGAAGTGTAGAGTCTTCCACTTCAGACGGAGATCTTTCTCAGATTGACTTGGCCCTTCCTGCCGCTGAAATTAGGACCTCCTGCATGCAAAGGATGGGGTGTGCTGATGGTTTCTTCCCTAAAGGTGGATGATTGAACCTTATTTACAACTTTGCAATCTCTTTGCCCAAGTCTTCAGTGACTGGGTCCATTGAACTTTAATGAACAAACCTTTCAAAATTGTTACCAGACAGGTATGTCGATCGAGGTCAGGTAGGCAGGTAAAAATGAGAATCACTTCAATACAATATCATAATATCCTTCCTTCTCTCCATTTGGCACCATCACTTCCCCCTTTTTCAGTTTAAAAGAGTGTGGGAGAGAATAGTAATGGATCTTTTTGGAAATGTGAAGAAGCAAAGAACAAAGCTGGCACCACCAGAACGGGAAACAGGGAGAAATTGAAGTAGAAGCCATAAGAGAGAGCAAGGACAGAATGAAGTAACCCTTCACCATTATACTCTCTAGCAAGCAGTTTCTCAATGGCTGGAGATGCGGGTAGCTTGTGGCCTGGGATGGGGTGGTGGTGGCAGCTTCCCCACCTGCCTTGTTTACTAGCTGTCAGTGGCTTGGAGGCTAGAATAACCACATACCCAGGGAGTTGCTGCACTCATCTGACAGTATTCTTCTTTGGGTTTTATTTCCTCAGGAGCCACATCAGCCCCCAGCCTCATATTTATCCTTCCTAGCATCTTCTACATCCGTATTATCCCCAATGAGAAAGAGCCACTGCTATCCAGATCTAAAATACAGGTAAGAGATGCCAGCAGGTGGTGAAAAGGGGGGCTCATCTGTGTGGGGAGGGTGACAGAAGTTTAAGAGAAGCCTAAGAGCAAAAGCAACCAGAGGGTCATTCAGTCAGAAGTGTGTGGGGTGGGTGGGTGGGGAGTGAGCAATGACAAGCCAAGCCTGGATACATCCATCCTAGCTGGCTAAATGCCTGGCAGGGCTGTCAGCATGGCTGTAAAGCAATTAAACAGGACAAGACAAGTTACGGTGGGACGATATCGGTTTGGCAATTTTTGATTGAGGTGGACACTGGTTGGACCTTGAGGAAGAACACCTCCCATTCATCTGCCAAACACTTACAGTACACCTTTCTAACCCTTAGGATCTAATGCATATGTCAGGGGTACAAGAAATGTAGTTCACAAGCTGCATGAATTCTCCCAGATCCCCAGTGGGGCCCCAGCAGCCCCAAATAACCACAATTCCTGTCCTTCCATTTTTTGTCCTTAAAAGCCTCCTGGGGAGTGTGGGGAACAATTTTTCATATTTTCTAATGATGGGCACTGAACTATTTCATGCCTGAAGGAACTTTTTGTTTGAGAACCTAAAGGAACTTCTGGTTGCCTCCAGTCTTTGAAGAAACATCTCCCAGCCCAATGGGTCAAATGTGGGGTGAAATTTCCCCCGATCCCTCCTAGGGGGCATGAGAAGTATTTTAAGATAATTTTGAGGTAACATGGGACAGTGCCATTCAGGTCCAAAGTATGGCCTCTGGAGGTTGTTCACCCTGACATAAGCTGCTAGGACCTGATGCCCAATACTGTTGTTAGGACCGAACACAAGAAAGGTCCTTCTGGCAATAATGGGGGCCAATTGTAGCTGTTACTCAGGGACTGGCCTTACCTGCCAGAGCTTCCAAAGATTTTAAGAATCAGAGGGTGGTGGGGGTTGAGGTTTAAGTAGGGGTATGGTGATGCATGAGAGCAAGTAGAGGTGGTGGGATGGTCAGGAAATAAGCAGGGAGAAATGTATCCTTTCCCCTCTCTACTTACATGAAACCACGGCCTCCTCCTTTCCCCGTGGAAACAGGCAAAATGACTACTAAAACCATTACTACTAAAACCATTTCTTCTTCTTCTTTTGTAGGCTGCCTGTTTTGCTGCCCTCGGCTTCATTTTCATGGTGATGAGTCTCAGCTTCATCATTGTAGACTGGGTAACCACAGGAAGGAGCAGGGGAGTGGGACACTAACATCCCTCTTCCCTCCCCCAAGAGACCGTGGTTCTAACCAGGGAGGGGCCATTCTGTGCCAGAGAATCAGCATCACCACCTCCTGTTTCTCATCATCCTGGAGAAACCATGGTTCTCCCTGCCCATCGCCTTGGAGAAGCACAGCAGGCACCATTTGTTGCCATGGCAATGCAGAGCCACTCAGAACAGCACTGGGGGTTTCTCTTGGGCTCTTCCTGGCCTCTGAAACAGGTTACCCGAAACAGGCCATTTATTGCCATGGATACTTATTTGTTGGTCTTGGTGCTAGGACAACGCCGCCTCCGTTGGCCATACCTGCATCTGGCTCCTATGGTAGCACCACAGGGCTTTTTGTTTTTCCTCCTTTACCTCCCTGGCAACACGATACCATTGCCAGCTGTTGGGTGTCACAACAACTCTGTGTGGGATTGGGATGGGTGGGGAGCAGGTTGGTCCAGGATGATAGTGCTGTCTGTCAGCCAGAGGTATCACTCCCTCCCATGATGGAATGAATCTCTGGTTCGTCCTCCTCCTCGTCACTGTAGCAAAGGTGCCTTGTTATTGGAATGGCAACGTCTTGTCTCCAATTAAGCCCAGAAAACGGGCTCTGTTCTTTCCATCACTGTGCTCCCAGATACCTCACCTCCGTCTTTCTGCCTTTTCCCCCTGCCTGGGGGAAATAAGTTAAGATGGGGCAGTGTGGATATGCCAATGGGGCTTAGGGGTTAGAACCCCAAGGTGGAGGTGGCCCTCAGTGGACAATCAGATTTTTTTTGTTACTATTTAATTTGAACACAGCTACCAGACCAAAGACCACAGCACAACCAACCTGGTGTTTACACAACCCCATGCCCGGGATCCCAGGTTTCAGTTAAAAAAAAAGGTTAGGTCTGGGATGTTGAAATGGGGGTGGGGGTGGCGCAGACTTCTTTGGGGCTCTTTTCCCAGCTAGGTGTGGGGTGGGAATAGGGGTTATAAGTAACAGCTGCAGACTTGACAGGAGGGATTTCGAGGGGAGGGGGAGGAAATGCAGCTGTCCTAGGTCTTGGCCTTGTGTCCTTCTTCTGTCCGAGTGATGCTAGATTTTTCCTGAGCCCACTCTGGGAATGTACACTACATAAATATACCAGTGGTTTCTCTTTAAAACAACTCCTAAAGCCACAAATAGCAGAAACTTGATTTTATGTCCAAATTGGTGCTTCCACCGTTTGTCCTTGGAGAACTCTAAAATGGTTTGAGGCAGCTTGTGTGGCACTTCCATCTGAGGCACTTACCATGACAAAACAAGACTTTATTCACTCACTCTTCACAGGGCATCGGGCCCTTCTTGGCTGCACTTGTACCCTGGCCCTCGAGGGTTTCGTTCAGGGAATCTGGATGATACCCTTGTCAGTTTGCATCCCTCATTTTTCTTCCTTTGTGTTATCCATCTTTTTTCTTACCATGAGTTAAAACTGTGGAGGAAGAAAGATGGAATCATGGCACAATGTTTTGTTCTTGCGAGCACTAGGAGCCCTCAGTCTAAAAGAAAGCTTGGAGATGTAACGTTTTTGATTCCCCAAATCCCCAGGAAATAAATTTTGCAAGTTCGACCAAGAAGCACCCAGCTACCTGCTGGTACCACCAGATTATTTTCTTTCAGTGCACTTCTGCCTGGCTGTATACCTTCTTCTGTCTCTCATTCTCAAACTTCAGAAAATCTGGTCTTTCTTTTCCTTCTTCAAAGGACAGACTAATAAATAGAACAGTGGTGACAGCTGTGGATTTTAAAAGTAGTATTCCTCCATCTGCTTGGAGACAAGTACTTTTCATGCCCAGTGAAAGATTGGGCAGGTCGGCCCATCACCCCAAAACTGGACTTCAGCAACGCCTTCACTTTTACCTTTCTAGTCAGCGATGTGTTAGTTCTTTTGCTTTTAAAATCATATCTTTTAAGTTGGACTTTTTGCCTATTGTGTTTTTATGTCTTCAGCATAGTTGAACAATAGCACTTACATGCTAAAACTTTTTTTCATTTATTTATCTAAAAAACAAACAAACATCCCTCCACTGCTATGCTGACACTGCCATATTATCACTGGTTTTGTTTTTTGTTTTTCTTCTGCTTTTTAAACATGGATGCAAATATGCAGAGACAATGACATTGAAGCAATTTTTAGTGCAAACCTCTTTAAATTATTAAAATTGATATAGAAGAAAATAGTTAAGGATTACAAGTACTCATAAATTGTTCCCTGCTTCATATCATTTCAGGGGAAGAAATCAGTCTTTTGGAACCTGCCCTGCTAGTATGGTAACTTTATAGCAAAATCAAATTGAACAAAGTTTAATAAAGATAGCTTACTAACAAAAACAGTCCATGAACCCAATAATAACGAGCGCACCGTTTAACGACGAATCCGCATAGCGATCTATTTTTTTTATCGCTAATGCGATCGCATTGTGATGTTTTAATGGGTAAAACATTGCATTGCGATGATCGGTAAGCGTTTCGCTTACCAATCTTCACATTGCGATGTTTCTAAAACACCTGATCTGCGGTTCCAAAATGACCGTCGAGTGCCCAAAATGGCCGCCGCAACCATTTTCGCGCCCTGCCCTTGCTTACCGAGGGCGCGAAAATGGCAGCGCTATGGAGGAACTTCGCTGAACGGTGAGTTTGGGCACCATAGGAACGCATTAACGAAGTTTAATGTGTTGCTATGACTTTTTCCATTCCATTTAGCGATGTTTCCTCATAGCGATGATTAATCCGGAATGGATTAACGTCGCTATGCGGGGCACCACTGTAATAATAAACATGTCCCAGCCCAGAAATGTGGATTACACTTTGCAATTCCACCCTTAGGGGAAAAAAGCAACAATTCGTTGGTGATCGGAGCATCACTGATGGGCAGCCATCCAGCCAGTGTTAGAATTTTCTAATGGCGGTGAATCTTCCACTTTCTGTGGCAGTCTATCCCATTTGTCAAAGGCTGCAAGTTCTTCCAGGCCTTATTCAAAGTTCTCTTCCTGATCATGAGTACATCTTGATTCCCATCCAACCCTCTGGAGTAACAGAAAACAAGTTGGTCATGCTGGCTAGGAATAATGGGAGTTGTAGTTTAATGCATCTGGGAGAGGAGTAGTTGATGGAAAGTCTCTTTTGACTGATTTGTCCCAATCATCAATAGCCAGTCATAATAGAACATACATTACTTCTGCTTTGATTGACCTTTATATATTGCTGTGGCTTTTACCGGTCTTAGGGTAACACATTGATCATGGCCAGGGGTGCCTTTTATCAACTTTGATTGTTTGCCCAATTGCACCCCTGCCTGGAAAGTAAATGCTTAATAAAATTGGTTCAAGCATTGGTAACCTCAAAAACAGACTACTACAATGCTCTCTATGTAGAGCTGCCCTTGAAAACAGGATGGAACCTCTAGCAGGTCCAAAAGGCAGCGTCCAGACTAGTTTTGGGATTAGTCAATTTGATCATGCATACCCAGTCTTTGCTTGCCTACATTAGTTTCCTTTTAAGTTTCTGTGCCTAATTTGTGGTGCTTGTGCTGACCCATAAAGCCCTTAATAATTAAAGTCCTCAATATTTGTCAGAACATCACCTCCAGAAAACAGCTGCACATTTAACACACTTCTCCCAAACCACAGTGTTAAGTGTGGCCACACTACTAAGAGGGGCAAAAAAGACGAAAAGAAATTGGGCCTTCTCAGCGGTCATCCCTACTCTGCGGAATAAACTTCCATCTAAGATTCGCGAGGCTCCGTCCCTCCTGACTTTTACTAAAGATTTTATAAACGTTATCCAGTGGTCATTAGAAACATATCTCTTACTATTGTGAACTTTTAATTTTTAAATGTAGGGCTTTTTTTAATGAGTTGGTCATTGCCATATTGTTTCCGGTTGTATGTGACTGGGTTTTTTTTTGGGGGGGGGAGTTTGCAGGTATGCTTTGTAAACCGTCCAGAGTATTGTCATTAAAGGGGTGGAATACAAGTTAAATAAGCAAATAAATATAATAAAAAAATTTGGAAGTCGGGAAACACGGTACTTTCGAATGGCAGAAGTGCACACAGTGAAAGAAGGCTTCTGTAAAGGTGGCATCTTTCCCTGCAACTGCAATAATTTTGCCCTCTGGCTAATTTTGAGGAGGAGTTAACTAGTTCATACTCCACAGTTTACTTCAATGGTTTTCAGCCTTTTCTCCACTTCTAGATTTTGCATGTCAAGTCTCAGCGTCCTTGACCGTTGACCACAGCGGTGGACGAAGCTCCTGGGAGCTAAAGTCCAGAAATTCTGGAGGCTCACTCTGTTGGATGTGTATTGAGTTTTACATTCAGTATCTCTTTAAAAAACGTCCCAGTGCTACTTCCAAATGTCCGTGGTAGCCCAGAGTGATTCTAGCTTTTTCATTTCTTTCCTCATCCGGTTTGTCAAATGACTGTTGCATTTGTCAAGTTGTTGGCACTCACAACAAATCCTAAATGCCAAAATAGAAATTCAGTAGCATTTGGCTAAAAAAATCCAATGAGCGGTGATATCCTTGGTTGTAGCTCTGCTGCCATCCCTCGCCTTCCAATCTGTTAGAAGCCGAGTGGCCTTCTATAATTTGAGCTCAACGTCACTTTTCTAAGGCTATTGGTTGGCCTAGCCATTTGGAACACTACAAAAGAGATTAAGCATCTTGTAGTTAACCTCACAACTACAATCTCAAATTCTTTCTGCTTCAGTTAGGCTTTCAGGAGATATATATATATTTTCTTTTGTTCCTTGCTATTGTTTTTGTTTCATTTACCAGATTCTCACCTTATAGCTAACGCATCATTAGAAGCTAAATTCCCATTACAGTTTTGGACACGTGATCCTGGCAGGCCAATGTGTCCGAGCAACTATGGTTGGAAAACGAAGCCTGTGTTTACTTCCCAGCGACCAGTCGCAAAGCCGGGGAAGCAAACCTTGCAAACTATAGGAAGTGCCAGAAGTTCCTGCTGTGACAATCAGACCTCTTTCAGCACTTGACATATCTTCTCTTCTAATTTCATGCTTCATGCGACACGTATTTAGAGAACATAACTATTAAGTAGAGGCAGGGAACGTGCTAGATAGGACCACAGCCAGAAGCATCCACTAGTGAGCCAGAGTGACAGCCAGAAAAGATACTAATATGGGATAAGCTTGTCTTCTTGCTTATCTGTTTAGATCTTACCCATCTTTTTCCCAACATAGTGTAAGTCTTTCACTGTTGTTTCAATGTTTTTTCCATGTGTGTCTGGGTGGCTTCTACTTTTTCATTTTTCTTTTCTTCTTGTCTCTGAAAAAACTCAAGATGCTTTTTCACGATGGTTTTCCGGAGCTTTGACTTGGATTGGGATAGTGGGGGCAGGACTAGGCTTCAGACTTAAGGGAGGAGGGAACAGATTCAAAATGTGAAATTCATGTAAGGACACAGCATTTGTATAATTATTGGAATTTAATAAAAAAAATACTGCGGACCTTCAGTGGAAGCAGTCTTGTGTAGATAATTATTTATTTTATATTTTGTGTTTACAATACTGCCATTTGGATAGACAGTCTTCAAAAAAATCCTGTTAATGACAATGTATATGCACATATATTCTCGTTTGTCTATGAATACAGATGTTCATTGACACATGGAAAAGAAAAAGAGAAGGTAGGGAAAGATGATACTGCTTTTGTGACATCTCTCACAACTTATAATGGGGGGAATCACGATTATTCAATCTTCACTGCTCTGCTTGGAGTTATCCCTCTCTACTCTCCACCCTTCCCCATCGGTGGGGTGGGATGAGTGTGCAGATCAGTGCCCAATACCAACTGAATTAAAATCGAGGATTTCTCTTTTGACTTCTATGGGAGGCTCTCTGTTTTGTCACTGGAAACATTTTAAAATACTTTTTCAAGTGAGACCCAGAACAAACCTATTCCAATAGTTGCTTCTACCGTTTTTCATATATCCACGGTTCCTCCTTTTCCAGTGGCTTATTTCTAGTCCTTGATTAGTTTGGTTGCTTTTTCACCTCCTCAATTTACTCAGCCTTCTGTGCCGCTACATATGATGTGTGTGGGTTTTGTGGGGAAGGTGGTCCACTGGTCAGGGTTTCCCCGTAAACATTCTTCTTGGCTTTACAAACCACAGGGTTCGCTCCTCCAGGTTCCTTTGGACAAGGTGCATTGCCCCTATTATGTTTGCCCTCCCATCAGTGTGTGATTTATTTATTTATTTATTTTATATACTGTTTTTGGTACCATCCTCCTTTCCTAACACTTCCTCCTTTGTCTCTGTATCAGCAGAGATCTTGTTTGGGACCTGCACCCCGGGTACAGGGTTCGCTCCTCCAGGTTCCTTTGGGCAAGGTGCATTGCCCCTATCATGTTTGCCCTCCCATCGGTGTGTGATTTATTTATTTATTTATTTTATATACTGTTTTTGGTACCATCCTCCTTTCCTAATACTTCCTCCTTTGTCTCTGTATCAGCAGAGATCTTGTTTGGGACCTGCACCCCGGGTCCAGTTTATTGGAGGTATTCTGAACTTGAGTTTGCAACCTAGGCAGTCCTACCATGAGACCAGGCACAAGTCACTGATGTTGCCTGCATTCAGAAGGCAATCACGGGACATGGATGTAAAGACTACTGGGTCTCAATCTAGCCTCCCAGCAATTCGTCTTCATAGCTGCTCATTAAAAATAAAATAAAATGCTGCATTGGTTTTTCTGCCATGTCTCCAACCGTAGATCTGTGACCACCTGTTTATCCCTAATTCCAAGAATCAGCCAAATACTGATCAATGGGCTCTTCCACCTTGCTACAAGGCACTTATCTAAGAGTAATGTTTGGCAGTTGCCGGAAAGAACACAGTAGGTCCTTACATGTTAAAGCTCCCTGGTTTCCAGAGGAGAAAGTATGACATATCCATGCATTGGATTGCTAAGAGGTGGTCAAGGCGACTGGAGACATTTAACATGGAATTCTAATGAAACAATCCAGTTGGTGTGTTTTCCTCTTCTGCTGTTTCTGGTACAACAATTTGGGGAGTGGTGTGATTTACACCACCAGGTGCAGTGACCCCAGTCGCAAACCATCCCACAGAGGACCACAATCAGTCTGTGCAGGTGCTGAGAAGGAGGAAATCCACACAACTCACAAAAGTGGACATCAGCCTTTTGGACAGTACATGTGTATCTGCTCTTCCACCACTGGCATACATTGCAAAGTGGATGTTTTCACAACACACTCCAGCAAGTTGTGTGCACTGTTGTGACAGAGAACTTGAGAGAGGTGTTCCTTTACTAGGGGTCAGGATCATTTCTCTACATGAGGCTGGATGAGGTGCAGCCACCCAGAAGCTGTTGGACTTGAATTCCCGGGAGTCTCCACCATTGTCTGTGCTGGCTAAGACTTGATGGGAGTCGTGGCCCAGCATCGG